CTGGCTATTCCCAAATTGAGAATCACAGGGAAGCTATAAGCTGTTTAGGGATATGCAGTTTCGAGGGTTGCAACCCGATCGGACTCTGGCTAATCCTCAGTTCATGTGCAGCAATGGGTTTTTGGAGGCTGGGAAACAGATCCATGCTGCCTCGCTGAAAATGATTTCTATGACAATTTTGTTGCCAGTGGACTAATAGGTGTTTATTCTAAGTGTCAGAAGATAGAGTTAGCAGAACACATATTCGATAAAATGCCTGAACTGGATATTGTCTGTTGGAATTCTATGATTGTAGGTTATTCGCTCAAATCTCTAGATAGAGAAGCTTTCATGTTGTTTAAGCAAATGCAACAAAATGGGATGTTTCCTACTCAATTCTCTTTTGCAACTGTGCTGAGTTGTTGTGCAAAGTTATCTTCCTCATTTCAGGGGAGACAGGTTCATGCTCAAATAGAGAAAGACAGATATGTTAATGATGTCTTTGTTGGGAGTGCACTTATTGATATGTATTGTAAAGTGGTGATGTAGATGGAGCTAGGAAGTTTTTGATATGATGCATGGCAAAAATACTGTCACTGGAATGAGAGATACATGGATAGCCAAAGTGGATATGGAGATGAGGCTATATGTCTCTACAAGGAATGATTGCATCAGGTGAGAAACCTGGATATAACCTTTGTGCTGGTTGACTGCTTGCAGCCATTCAGGACTGGTTGAGAGGGGTTGAAATCTCAATTCCATGAAGCAAGGACATCATCTGGAGCCAAAGTTAGAACACTATACTTGCATGGTGGACTGTCTAGGTCGAGCTGGTCGTTCCATGAAGCAGAAATTCTTATAGATGAGATGCGTATAAAGATGATCCAGTTATATGGGAGGTTCTTTTAAGTTCTGTCGAGTTCACTCTAATGGAGCTTAGCAAAAAGGGCAGCAGAAGAACTGTTTCGTTAGACCCGAAAAATTCTGCTACTTATTCACTTCTTGTTAACGTCTATTCTTCTTCAGGAAGATGGGATGACTTGGGGCTGTGAGAGAGCTAATGAATGAAAATGATGTAGTAAAGATCCAGGATATAGTTGGATTGAACATAACGATGCAAGTAAGTCTTATGGGGACAATAACCAGAGGATTATGGGTGGATGATTGAGACATTAACGTGTATTAGCTGAACAAGTCTTGCGCACTTTTGCTGGTTACATCCGGTGAATTTCTCTCTTCTCTCTCTCTCTCTCTCTCTGATCTGGAACACCTTGTAAACTCTTCATCTTTCAATATTGTATATATATTTACATGGACCGTAATTGTGACACAGATTTTCAAGGTGCAAGGTGATATCAAGGAGATTAAAGCTAGTGTGATTTCTGGAGCATGCTTTGTCTACTGCATTATAAGTTTCAGTACATTCGCAGCATCGGTAGTTGCTATACCTGTTAGTGGTTTTTCTTTCTTACATCAAAGAAAATAGTACCCTTTGGATGGTGCTCATCCTTGTGCTGATTGGGAAACAAAGTGGATTACAATGTTGATCAGGTATACTTGAGCAAGGGTGGGGCAGAAAGGGTGGGGTTTCATTTGTGTGATGGCTGCTAAGGATTATGCTAATCAGAATGACAACTTAATGATGCTGAATATTCCATTTCTTCTGTATGGGAGAAAGAGGTCGCTGCAAAATAAAATTTATGCAAGTTTTTCTTGAGAGTTGTTTTGTTCATCTCTGGTAGATCTCTCCCTGAGTCGTTGAGTTACAATTTGGTAACCCTCTTTCTCCTTCTCTTATAAATTATGCAAAGTATTAGGGGGGTAAGATGTAAATTTTCACATGCCATCCTGATATTGACAAATACAGATTACAAAAGAAGGCAGAAAAAAATGCATCCATGGTTCTTATTAGGTATTGTGAATAAAATGTTTGACGATTGGATTAAGAAAATACCTCCGCTAACTTTCAGCATACTATAACTACACTTCTGATATTCGCCCTTATATTTTATCAACACAATAGTGACTTTTAAAACTATTTCTACAAATGCTAGAATAACATCATAGTATTATTTCTTGAGCATTTGAAACATCTATTTCTAAAAGTGCAAGATTAGTAGTCTCTACGAAAAACATGGAAATTTTACATCACAGTGTTATTTCTATACATAGAGTAAATAAAATTAAGACTTCTGATATTACTTACATATAAAAGCAATAGGAGAATTTAAGGAAGCCTAAATTAGATTCCATAATTAAGAATTTAGCATTTGACTATAGCACCCTGTTTTGATGGGTTAAAGTATTAGGCTTAACTGTGGAACATACAATATAGTTAGGAGCTAAATAAGACTAAAAGAACTTCTTTGTGTAAATTATCACTGAGTTTAAGATAGGATTTTTCCAATAGATGATAGTAATATCTTTAAACAAGAATATATACTTGATATTGAGCACTTAGATTGATTTTTGGGATATGGAATCGGCTAGATCAAAAAAGTCCTGCAATTATAAGAAATTTCTTTTATGATAAAATTTTGAAGGTGATCATTTAAAACAAAGTGCTACTTAATAGATGGATTGAAAGGAAGATAGACTTTTTTGGCAAAATAAAGAATTTTAGCTTCTAACCAATTCTTTATATGATAACATTCAATTCTAAGGTTACAATGTGATCATCAATTTTGTCTAAAATTTTGTATCAAAAAAAATGAAATTTTGTCTTTTACTCCCTCCGATTTTTATAAATAGTCGTTTAAGGTTGGACACGGTTTTTAATAAAAAAAATTTGTCTCTCTCACCAACTTTTTCACCTGATTTTGCAGGTGAGAGAAGACTTTGCAAGTGGGAAACTTTCCCGCTTATTTAAATAAAGTAGAGAAATGGCAAGACAAAATGGAAAGAGAGAGAGGAGATGGGTATGATGAAAAGTGGAGAAAAGGCAAGACAGTAGACTTTTATTTTGAAAAAATTAAAAACCTTTAAAACGATTATTAAAAAACGGAGGAGTAGTTATATTATTGTTAGATAAATGACTGTCCACATTTAAAAATCGCAGATGGTCCTCACATAGAATTTCTTATTAGCATAATAATAAATTCTAATATTAAATGTTAGATTTATAGCCTTTTCAATAGATTTAAGGAGTTGAAACATAGAATGTCATACTTTATCATGTAAGTAATCATTTTAGAGAATGAATGGATATGTACAGAGGGTAACGTTACTCAACTCGTACGCTCGGATAGGGGTAGCGTTACCCTTACTATCATAGTCCATATTTCTACATTACAAGCTGCATTCCATCTTAATACATATTAGTGTTATCATAATACTATGCGTACTAACGAATTTTACTAATCAGCGCACTAACATAAAGCATAGTACGGGTACCATACCATAGTACGAATACCATATGTAATTTTAACAAGGTTAGTACGCTGATTAGTAAAATTCGTTAGTACGCATAGCATACCAAGTGTTATAGTCAACTCCTTAAATATTTACATACAGACATTTTCGTAGAACGATATGTATTATAGCATTTCATAAGATGGTGGTAGTAAATAGTCATTATTATCATGCCATAGATCACATTGCTTTTATTATACTCCCTCGTTTTTTATAATAATCGTTTTAAGGGTTTTTTTTTAATTTTCAAAATAAAAATCGTTCATGTCTGTATTTTCTTCACTTTTCATCATGCCCACATCTTCTTTTATCTCTCTTTCCATTTTTTCTTGTCCTTTCTCTATTTTATTTAAATAAGCGGGAAAGTTTTCCACTTGCAAAGTCTTCTCCCACCCGCAAAATCAGGGGAAAAAGTTGGTGGGAGAGACAATTTTTTTTATTAAAACCCGTGTCCAAACTTAAAACGACTATTATAAAAAATGGAGGGAGGATATTATACAGTGCATTAGGTTTATTATTTTGGGTAGGATTTTGAGAATAGTATTGGATAGTTGAATAGGGGAGTATTACGAGATAAAATTTAAAAATTTATGAAAAAGCCCCCAAGGTTTGCTAATTTAATAAACACCCTTGTATATTAAAATATTGTAAAATGACAAAAATACCCTTAACACCCAAAGTGCCAGATTCTGGCGGTGGATTCGATAACCACAAAATCCGGTCGGATATGGCGGGTATTCGATTGATATGGCCTTTTCCGACCATATCCACCACGGATCTGGTCAGAAAAGGCCATATCGATCGAATACCCGCCAGATCCGATCGGACCACGGATCTAGCCGGAAAAGGCCAACTTTTGTTGTCAGCGACGGCCAAAGATATGGCCGTCGTTGTTTGTCAACGATGGCCATTTCTTTGACCGTCGTTGACGGCTAGATCCGTGGCGGATCTGGCCAGAAAAGGCCAGATCTGGTCATTACTGGCCATTTCTGGTGGTCATGTAATTGTTGTGATAGATTTTGGCTACCACCGACGGTGGTTGTCGAAATCTGGCAAGTGTTGTGGGTGGGGGTGTCTCTGTTAGTTTTTTAACTTTTTTTTTTGGTATTTAATGAAATTAATAAACTTATGGGATCTAAAAGTAATTAAAAAAAGACTAATATTTTGAGAATAATGTGACAAACAACATTTTGAAGAATATGACTGAGAATATGGATAAAAATAATAGGCAAAACGCACCCATAATCTCTTGTACAATTTTGTCCTCATTCAGTCAATCGGTGGTGTAGATTAGAAGAGTCTGGAAGCATGAACACTAATTGCAACCATTTACAAACCCAAGAAGACTCAGATAATTTCAATTTCCTAGATGGTAGAAGCCAGGACCATCGTTGAATTTCATTTCTGCTCATGTCACTTATTTATCATCAACCCCAATGTTCAAAACTCTCATGGGAAAGCTCAAAACTTCCATTTCGAATGTGTCAATAATGAATCAGTTTCACTATATAAACCCCTCAACCCCACTTCATTTTCCCATCAACCAAACAAGTTCACTATCAAACTCCCAGGATCACATTGCTAACACTGTTACATTGCCATATTTAGCCATGAAGAACCTCTTTTTCTCCATGCTAGTTCTCCTCTCAGTCCTTTTCTTCCTTGCCAACGTCAGCGAGGCGGCGGTCCAGTGCAACTTTGTGGTTTCTAAAGCAGCTCCATGTGCAGCGTATGCCACAGGCAAGGCACCAGAACCTAGTAATGAATGCTGCAGTGGGCTGAAACAGCTTGCTCAATCTGTGAAAAGTGTTGATGATAAGAAGGATATCTGCCGCTGCTTAAAGAGCGCTGCCAAGTCTATGAAGGTAAACGATGCGTTCTTGAGCAAGCTTCCTGATATTTGTAAGATCAATGTTGGTTTCCGTGTCTCCTCAAAAACAAACTGCGAAACGTGAGTATTTACTTTCCTTAAGACATTTTTAATTATATCTATCATATCAATATATGGAAGAGGGTACACTTTAAAACGACTAATCGATGAAATATCATATCAAATGGGTTTGAGACACAGATTTTCAAGGTTGCAAGGTGATATCAAGGAGATTAAAGCTAGGTGTATTCTGGAGCAGCTTTGTCTACTGCTATAGTTTCAGTACATTCGCAGCATCGGTAGTATGCTATACCTGTCTAGTGGTTTCTTCTTTGACTTACATCAAAGAAATATTACCCTTTGGATGGTGCTCATTCCTTGTCTGATTTGGGAAACAAAGTGGATTACAATGTTGATCAGGTATACTTGAGCAAAGGGGTGGGGGAGGGTGGTTCATTTTTGTTGATGGCTCTAAGGATTATCTAATCAAATGACACTTAATGATGCTGATATTTCCATTTTCTTCTGTATAGGGAGAAAGAGGTCGCTGCAAAATAAATTATGCAAGTTTTCCTTGAGAGTTGTTTGTTCATCTCTGGTAGATCTCTCCCTGAGCTCTTGTTGAGTTACAATTTGGTAACCCTCTTCTCCTTCTCTCTATAAATTATGCAAATTATTATGTGGTAAGATGTAAATTTTCACTGCCATCCTGATATTGACAATACAGATTCAAAAGAAGGCAGAAAAATATGCATCCATGTTTCTTTTAGGTATTGTGAATAAAATGTTATGACGATTGGATTAAGAAATACCTCCGCTAACTTTCACCATACTATTAACTACACATTCTGTATTCGCCCTTATATTTATCAACACACATTTAGTGACTTTTAAAACTATTTCTACAAATGCTAGAATAACATCATAGTTTATTTCTTGAGCATTTGAAACATCTATTCTAAAAGTGCAGATTAGTAGTCTCTACGAAAAACATGGAATTATTTACATCACAGTGTTATTTTCTATACATAGAGTAAATAAAATTAAAGACTCTGATATTACTTACATATAAAAAGCAATAGGAAGAATTTTAAGGAAGCCTAAATTAGATTCCATAATTAAGAATTTAGCATTTGACTATAGCACCCTGTTTTGATGGTAAAGTATTAGGCCTTACTGTGGACCATACTATTAGTAGAAGCTAAAATAGACTAAAAGAACTTCTTGTGTAAATTACACTGAGTTCTAATGATAGGATTTTTCCAATAGATGATAGATATCTTTAAACAAGAATATATACTTGATATTGAGCACTTAGATTGATTTTTGGGATATGGAATCGGCTAGATCAAAAAATGTCCTGCAATTATAGAAGAAATTTTTCTTTATGATAAAATTTTGAAGGTGATCATTTAAAACAAAGTGCTACTATATAGATTGGATTGAAAGGAGTAATATTTGGCAAAATAAAGAATTTTAGCTTCTAACCAATCTTTATATGATAACTTCAATTCTAAGGTTACAATGTGATCATCAATTTTGTCTAAAATTTTTGTATCAAAAAATAATGAAATTTTGTCTTTTACTCCCTCCGATTTTTTTATAATAGTCGTTTTAAGTTTGACACGGGTTTAATAAAAAAAATTTGTCTCTCCACCAACTTTTTACCTGATTTTGCAGGTGAGAAAGACTTTGCAGTGGGAAACTTTCCCGCTTATTTAAATAGTAGAGAAATGCAAGACAAATGAAAGAGAGACAAGAGATGTGGGTATGATGAAAGGTGGAAGAAGGCAAACGTAAGACTTTTATTTGAAAAAATTAAAAACCTTTAAAACGACTATTATAAAAAAAACGGAGGGAGGTATTTTATTATTGTTAGATAAATGACTGTCCACATTTTAAAAATGCAGATGGTCCTCACCTAAGAATTTCTTTAGCATAATAATAAATTCTTAATATTAAATGTTGATTTATAGCCTTTTCAATAGATTTAAGGAGTTGAAACATAGAATGTCATACTTTATCATGTTACAAGTAATCTTTTAGAGAATGAATGGATATGTACTAGAGGTAACGTTACCTCAACTGTACGCTCTGTAGGGGGTAGCGTTACCCTTACATCATAGTCCCATCATTCTACATTACAAGCTGCATTCCCATCTTAATACATATAGTGTTATCAATAATACTATGCGTACTAACGAATTTTACTAATCAGCGCACTAACATAAAGCATGTACGGGTACCATACGCATAGTACGAATACCATAGTAATTTTAACAAAGGTTAGTACGCTGATTAGTAAAATTCGTTAGTACGCATGCATTACCATAGTGTTATAGTCAACTCCTTAATTTATTACATTACAGACTTCTTTCGTAGAACGATATGTTATTTATAGCATTTCATAAGATTGGTGTAGTAATATTCATTATATCATGCCATAGATCACATTGCTTTTATTATACTCCCTCCGTTTTTTATAATAATCGTTTTAAGGGTTTTTATTTTTCAAAATAAAAATCGTTCATTCCTGCTAGCAAATCTCTTGCAATCTTGCATAGACAAGAAAGCCCATTTATCAGGCAAGCTTCTTCACGCTTACATTCTTCGCAATGGCCTTTTCTACGACACCTTCCTCTCCAATCGCCTCATCGAATTATACTCAAAATGCAACAACCCAAAATCTGCCCAACACCTGTTCGATAAAATGTCCCGTAGAGACATCTTTTCTTGGAACGCAATCTTAAGTGCCCAATGCAAAGCCCAAAATTTAGAACTGGCGTATAATCTGTTCGATGAAATGCCGGAGAGAAATGTTGTCTCGTGGAATAATGTGATTAGTGCACTGGTACGAAAAGGGTTTGAAGAAAAGGCGTTGAGGGTTTATTGTAGGATGATTGAGGAAGGTTATGTGCCTACCCATTTCACGTTGGCTAGTGTTTTGAGTGCTTGTGCAGCGGTGTTGGATGTTGTGCAAGGGAGGAGGTGTCATGGCCTTGCGGTTAAGATTGGACTTGATAAGAATATGTATGTAGGTAATGCTTTGTTGTGTGTGTATGCCAAGTGTGGGTGGACGAGATGTGCGGTTCGAGTTTTTGGGGAGATGGATGCGCCTAATGAGGTTAGTTTTACCACTATGATGGGTGGGTTAGCGCTGACGGATAGAGTTGTTGAGGCTTTGGAGATGTTTAGGTTGATGTATAGGAAAGGGGTTTGTATTGATTCTGTGTCGCTGTCTAGTGTTTTGGGTGTTTGTGCTAGAGGAAGTGGAGGGAATTCTCATGGTTTTGTTGAGAGTGATGATGGGTTTTTCAGTAATGTGCATGGGAAACAAGTGCACTGTCTTACTATTAAACTTGGGTTTGAAGGAGATCTTCATTTGAGTAATTCATTACTTGATATGTATGCAAAGAATGGGGACATGGACGGTGCTGAAGTGGTGTTTGCTAATCTCTCTGAAGTCAGTGTTGTTTCTTGGAATGTTATGATAGCTGGGTATGGCCAGAGATATGAAAGCAAGAAAGCTATTGAATGTTTGAAAAGAATGCAAGTTCGTGGCTTTGAACCTGATGAAGTCACTTATATTAATATGCTTGCAGCGTGTGTCAAGTCTGGGGATATTGAAACTGGACGACAAATGTTTGATAGCATGTTGATTCCTAGTGTGAGTTCATGGAATGCCATGCTCTCTGGCTATTCCCAAATTGAGAATCACAGGGAAGCTATAAAGCTGTTTAGGGATATGCAGTTTCGAGGGTTGCAACCCGATCGGACTACTCTGGCTATTATCCTCAGCTCATGTGCAGCAATGGGGTTTTTGGAGGCTGGGAAACAGATCCATGCTGCCTCGCTGAAAATTGATTTTCATATTGACAATTTTGTTGCCAGTGGACTAATAGGTGTTTATTCTAAGTGTCAGAAGATAGAGTTAGCAGAACACATATTCGATAAAATGCCTGAACTGGATATTGTCTGTTGGAATTCTATGATTGTAGGTTATTCGCTCAATTCTCTAGATAGAGAAGCTTTCATGTTGTTTAAGCAAATGCAACAAAATGGGATGTTTCCTACTCAATTCTCTTTTGCAACTGTGCTGAGTTGTTGTGCAAAGTTATCTTCCTCATTTCAGGGGAGACAGGTTCATGCTCAAATAGAGAAAGACAGATATGTTAATGATGTCTTTGTTGGGAGTGCACTTATTGATATGTATTGTAAATGTGGTGATGTAGATGGAGCTAGGAAGTTTTTTGATATGATGCATGGCAAAAATACTGTCACTTGGAATGAGATGATACATGGATATGCCCAAAGTGGATATGGAGATGAGGCTATATGTCTCTACAAGGACATGATTGCATCAGGTGAGAAACCTGATGATATAACCTTTGTTGCTGTTTTGACTGCTTGCAGCCATTCAGGACTGGTTGATGCAGGGGTTGAAATCTTCAATTCCATGAAGCAAGGACATCATCTGGAGCCAAAGTTAGATCACTATACTTGCATGGTGGACTGTCTAGGTCGAGCTGGTCGTTTCCATGAAGCAGAAATTCTTATAGATGAGATGCCGTATAAAGATGATCCAGTTATATGGGAGGTTCTTTTAAGTTCTTGTCGAGTTCACTCTAATGTGAGCTTAGCAAAAAGGGCAGCAGAAGAACTGTTTCGCTTAGACCCGAAAAATTCTGCTACTTATTCACTTCTTGTTAACGTCTATTCTTCTTCAGGAAGATGGGATGACTTGAGGGCTGTGAGAGAGCTAATGAATGAAAATGATGTAGTTAAAGATCCAGGATATAGTTGGATTGAACATAACGATGCAATGTAAGTCTTATGGTGGACAATAACCAGAGGATTATGGGTGAATGATTGAGACATTAGCGTTATTAGCTGAACAAGTCTTGCGCACTTTTGCTGGTTACATCCGGTGAATTTCTCTCTCTCTCTCTCTCTTTCTCTCTCTCTCTGATCTGGAACACCTTGTAAACTCTTCATCTTCTCAATATTGTATATATTATTTACATGGACCGTAATTGTGACACAGATTTTCAAGGTTGCAAGGTGATATCAAGGAGATTAAAGCTAGTTGTATTTCTGCAGCATGCTTTGTCTACTGCATTATAAGTTTCAGTACATTCTGCAGCATCGGTAGTATGCTATACCTGTCTAGTGGTTTCTTCTTTGACTTACATCAAAGAAAATAGTACCCTTTGGATGGTGCTCATTCCTTGTGCTGATTTGGGAAACAAAGTGGATTACAATGTTGATCAGGTATACTTGAGCAAAGGGGTGGGGGCAGAAAGGGTGGGGTTTCATTTTTGTTGATGGCTGCTAAGGATTATGCTAATCAGAATGACAACTTAATGATGCTGAATATTTTCCATTTTCTTCTGTATAGGGGAGAAAGAGGTCGCTGCAAAATAAAATTTATGCAAGTTTTTCCTTGAGAGTTGTTTTGTTCATCTCTGGTAGATCTCTCCCTGAGCTCTTGTTGAGTTACAATTTGGTAACCCTCTTTCTCCTTCTCTCTATAAATTATGCAGAAGTATTATGGTGGGTAAGATGTAAATTTTCACATGCCATCCTGATATTGACAAATACAGATTACAAAAGAAGGCAGAAAAATATGCATCCATGGTTCTTATTAGGTATTGTGAATAAAATGTTATGACGATTGGATTAAGAAAATACCTCCGCTAACTTTCAGCATACTATTAACTACACATTCTGATATTCGCCCTTATATTTTATCAACACAATTTAGTGACTTTTAAAACTATTTCTACAAATGCTAGAATAACATCATAGTATTATTTCTTGAGCATTTGAAACATCTATTCCTAAAAGTGCAAGATTAGTAGTCTCTACGAAAAACATGGAATTATTTACATCACAGTGTTATTTTCTATACATAGAGTAAATAAAATTAAAGACTTCTGATATTACTTACATATAAAAAGCAATAGGAAGAATTTTAAGGAAGCCTAAATTAGATTCCATAATTAAGAATTTAGCATTTGACTATAGCACCCTGTTTTGATGGGTTAAAGTATTAGGCCTTAACTGTGGAACATACATATATAGTTAGGAAGCTAAAATAAGACTAAAAGAACTTCTTTGTGTAAATTATCACTGAGTTCTAATGATAGGATTTTTCCAATAGATGATATGTAATATCTTTAAACAAGAATATATACTTGATATTGAGCACTTAGATTGATTTTTGGGATATGGAATCGGCTAGATCAAAAAATGTCCTGCAATTATAGAAGAAATTTTCTTTTGTGATAAAATTTTGAAGGTGATCAGTTAAAACAAAGTGCTACTTAATAGATTGGATTGAAAGGAAGATAGACATTTTTTGGCAAAATAAAGAATTTTAGCTTCTAACCAATTCTTTATATGATAACATTCAATTCTAAGGTTACAATGTGATCATCAATTTTGTCTAAAATTTTTGTATCAAAAAATAATGAAATTTTGTCTTTTACTCCCTCCATTTTTTTATAATAGTCATTTTAAGTTTGGGTACGGGTTTTAATAAAAAAAAAATTTGTCTCTCCCACCAATTTTTTCACCTGATTTTGCAGGTGGGAGAAGACTTTGCAAGTGGGAAACTTTCCCGCTTATTTAAATAAAGTAGAGAAATGACAAGACAAAATGGAAAGAGAGACAAAAGAGATATGGGCATGATGAAAAGTGGAGAAAAGACAAGACATGAATGACTTTTATTTTGAAAAAATTAAAAACTCTTAAAACGACTATTATAAAAAAAACGGAGGGAGTAGTATTTATTATTGTTAGATAAATGACTGTCCACATTTTAAAAATGGCAGATGGTCCTCACCTAAGAATTTCTTATTATCATAATAATAAATTCTTAATATTAAATGTTAGATTTATAGCCTTTTCAATAGATTTAAGGAGTTGAAACATAGAATGTCATACTTTATCATGTTACAAGTAATCATTTTAGAGAATGAATGGATATGTTCTAGAGGGTAAGGTTACCTTAACTCTTAAGCTCGGATAAGGGGTACTATTATCATAGTGCCATCATTTCTACATTACAAGTTGCATTCCCATCTTAATACATATTAGTGTTATCAATAATACTATGCGTACTAACGAATTTTACTAATCAGCGCACTAACATAAAGCATAGTACGGGTACCATACGCATAGTACGAATACCATATGTAATTTTAACAAAGGTTAGTACGCTGATTAGTAAAATTCGTTAGTACGCATAGCATTACCATAGTGTTATAGTCAACTCCTTAAATTATTTACATTAGAGACATTCTTTCGTAGAACGATATGTATTTATAGCATTTCATAAGATTGGTGGTAGTAAATAGTCATTATTATCATGCCATAGATCACATTGCTTTTATTATACTCCCTCCGTTTTTTTATAATAATCGTTTTAAGGGTTTTTAATTTTTTCAAAATAAAAATCGTTCATGTCTTATCTTTTCTCCATTTTTCATCATGCCCACATCTCCTTTATCTCTCTTTCCATTTTGTCTTGTCCTTTCTCAATTTTTTTTAAATAAGCGGGAAAGTTTTCCACTTGCAAAGTCTTTTCCCACTTACAAAATCAGGGGAAAAAGTTGGTGGGAGAGACAAAATTATTTTTATTAAAACTCGTGCCTAAACTTAAAACAATTATTATAAAAAAACGGAGGGAGGATATTATAGGGTGCATTTGGTTTATTATTTTGGGAATAATATTGGGTAGTTGAATAGGGGACTATTACGAGATAAAATTTAAAAATTTTTAAAAAACCTCCTAGGTTTGCTAATTTAATTAAACACTCTAATATATAAAAATTATGTAAAATAACAAAAACACCCCCACCACCCGCAGTGCCAGATTATGGTTGGCCGAAAAATTGCGTTACAACACAAACCGGTCGGATCTGTGTCCTATCGCGTCGATCTGGCCTTTTCTGGCCAGATCCACCACGGATCTGACCGAAAAAGGTTAGATCTATGGCCAGATGTGGCCGTCGACTGCTATAAAGGTCCATCTATGGCCGTCAACGATGGCCAAAGATATGGCCGTCGTTGTCGGTCAACGATGGTCAAGATTTGGCCGTTGTTGATCGTCAACAACGGCCATTTCTTAGGCCGTCGCTGACGGCCAGATCTGGCCTTTTCCGGCTAGATCCACTGTGGATCTAGCAGAAAATGTCAGATCGATGAATAATCGACCATTTTCGGTCGTGGTGTAAGCCGTTGTGACAGATTCCGGCTACCATCGACGGTGGTTACCGGAATCTGGCAATTACGGGTGGGTGGGGTTGCTTTTACTAATTTTTAAACTTTTTTTTGGGGTATTTAATGAAATTAATAAACTTAAAGGGTCTAAAAATAATTAAAAATATACACTAATATTTCTCAAATATAATGTGTTAAACAATATTTGGGGAATAAGATTGAGAATATGGGTTGAAATATTGAACCAAACACACCCATAATCTCCAGGGCCGGCTTAAGGGGTAGGCAGGTGAGGCACTTGCCTAGGGCCCCAAAAAAATGGGGGCCCAAATTTTTTATAATTTTTTTTTTTTTTTGAATATCTTACAAAAATGAAAATGGTTTATAATTTCTTATCTAAGTCAAGGGACCTCCAAAAAAAAGCCAAAAAAGCCTAAATTTATTATAAACTTTTTACATATATTCCCACCCAAATTTTAACAAAATAGCAAGTTTGTACCTCTAGTTTAATATATTCTAGTTTATACCCCTAAATTAACACATTGAATCTCTTTTAACAATGGAACACTAAAATAGTCATTTACATATCTCAAATTACTCACCCTCAATTCAATCCCAAAATTTGACATTCACATAAATCATCTCCAGCCCTCTTCTACCGCCAGTGGTTTAGAGTTGATTTCGGTCAATTTTGGTTCCGGTCGATTTTCTCACCAAAATCGACCGAAATCATCATTTTATCATTTCCCAACCTTGATAGCTCTTAATTTGACTAATTTTTGATGAATCTCGCAACCCAACTCCACCACACGACAACTATTTTCAGCCTTTTTGGCATCTACCCGACATTGTTGGTCTTCCCCGACACCACCATCTTCCTCCCCTTAGCCCTCTCACCAAAACCCCTATCATACCTTATCCGTTTACTCTGCCAATCGCCGGTCATTGATACCTTTTGAGCCGTGATTTCTCAAGCCTTTTCTTATCAATCTTGGCATTGGAAATCACCCATTTCACCACCCATCACTTTTCCAACATCTACTCTCTAAAATCCCCCATCAATCTAACCTTGTTAGCCTGTCGATTGCTGTCCACCTCTCCTAGTGATTTTTTATCTCAAAAGGTAAAATAATAATAATAATAATAATAATAATAATAATAATTTTTTTTAATATATGCTTATATTATTAGAGGACCCTAAAATAACTCTTGTCTAAGGTCAAAAATATTCTAGAGACGGCCCTGACAATCTCTTGTACAATTTTGTCCTCATTCGGTCAATCGGTGGTGTAGATTAGAAGAGTCTGGAAGCATGAACACTGATTGCAACCATTTACAAACCCAAGAAGACTCAGAAAATTTCAATTTCCTAGATGGTAGAAGCCAGGACCATCGTTGAATTTCATTTCTGCTCATGTCACTTATTTGTCATCAACCCCAATGTTCAAACTCTCATGGGAAAGCTCAAAACTTCCATTTCCAATGTCTCAATAATGAATCAGTTTCACTATATAAACCCCTCAACCCCACTTCATTTTCCCATCAACCAAACAAGTTCACTATCAAACTCCCAGGATCACATTGCTAACACTGTTACATTGCCATATTTAGCCATGAAGAACCTCTTTTTCTCCATGCTAGTTCTCCTCTCAGTCCTTTTCTTCCTTGCCAATGTCAGCGAGGCGGCGGTCCAGTGCAACTTTGTGGTTACTAAAGCAGCTGCATGTGCAACGTATGCCACAGGCAAGGCACCAAAACCTACTAATGAATGCTGCAGTGGGCTGAAACAGCTTGCTCAATCTGTGAAAAGTGTTAATGATAAGAAGGATATCTGCCGCTGCTTAAAGAGCGCTGCCAAGTCTATGAAGGTCAACGATGCGTTCTTGAGCAAGCTTCCTGATATTTGCAAGATCAATGTTGGTTTCCGTGTCTCCTCAAAAACAGACTGCGAAACGTGAGTATTTACTTACCTTAGACATTTTTAATTATATTAATCATATCAATATATGGAAGAGGGTACGCATTAAGACGAATAATCAATGAAATATAATATCAAATGGGTTCAGAGTTATATTGATTCTTGTTTTATGATTTTGCAGTATTCACTGAATTGCTATAGAATTGAAGCAGCGGTCGGTTGAGAAAGCCATCATAAAGTATATTAAGAGTGAGTTAGAATAAATTAAACAGTGATGAGAATGTTATCATCTTATGTATGATGCTACTTCTGGTATTAATAATAATAATAATGTAATTCTCAAAGTTTTTCTGGTGTTGATTACACTCCTACACTTAAAGCTTGCCATACTAAAAATAATTGGTCTTCTCACCAAAAATCATGACTAATAAAGAATTAGCATAGTGTAGTTTTGGCCAATATTTTAAAACCCAACCTGGGTGAAATCCGGCAAAGTGGTCGGGTCTTGGGTTGGCTGATGGATCAAACCTGTATCCAAAGGTTTGAAATCTAACAAAAATACTTTTGAAACTTACATGTAAGTTTTATAGGTTTAAAATCTTGCAAAAATATCCTAAACACCGTCGTCAACATCGATAAATATAGCTTGTTTTCGACGACAACAATACTTTTCATCACCATGAAAACACTTTTCTTAGTCTCCTGATCAAAACTCATCTTACCCTTTTCCCGTTCACCTCCCCAATCAGCCACAACAGTGGGATTTTTTCAAAGATATTTTTTTGCGATTTTCGATCGATTCATTCACCGAAAATCGACATTGTTGCCATCATTACACTCACCGATAATTTCTCTTCAAAAACCTTAACATTCCAGCCTTCAATTGTTTACGGATTGATATCCTAATTTCTAAGGTTTTGAATGAATGAGAAATTTTGTAACCCAACCCAGTGAAGGCTCGGGGTCCCGATTCAATCGGTTCAGCTGGCTGGGTTTTAAAACAGTATTTTTGGCCTCTGTAATTTAGATGTAAAGCTCAGATCAAGAGAGTGATGAATTTAGCGACAAAATTTTAGTAACATGCACCTTTATTTGGCAATTGTTCATTGTAATTCTATTCGTCAACATCTTATGATATCTTATAATTGAGAATACAGTAAGCAACTGAAGCAGCAATAACAAAATATGAAAATGATCCAAAATGAGATAGCATCCTACTTCCTCTTGTGTTTTCAGGAAAAATTGTATTAACTACCAGGGAATTTCTTGACCATCCCAGCCAAAGAACTTCCCGTTGTCATGCTTCTTCGTGTTTTCGATGATGTTTAAAAGCTTCTGCACTGAGAACTCTTTGGTGAAGAGCTTGCCCTCCGGTACATTTCTCTGAAATGGCCTGGAGAGATCAGTGTCCACTGTGCCTGGATGCAACATAATGCATATAACTGGATCTTTCCTTCGAGCAAACTCCAGCGACACAGTTTTTGTTACTGCAAGCATCAATCGACCAATGAATAAACATGAAATTACACAAGGGAATCCTACATTTATCACTGCAAGCATCAACTGACCGATGAATTAACATGAAATTATACAAAGGAATCATACATTTATCACCAGAAACACTCGAAAGAAGCATCTATTCAATGTTTCTGCACTACAGTCAATAATTCATAGCGAGGATCTTACGCTGATTAAGGGCAGCCTTTGATGCACGATAGGAGTGCCAACCACCCAGGCGATTGTCCCCGATTGATCCTACTCTGGCACTTAAATTGGCCACAACTGCTGCTTCCCTTTCAGTCACAGTCCCTCCTCCAACCTTAAGAAGAGGCCACATATGCTGAAAATGCAAACACATCGATAATATTAAGTGATGACACAAATCTTCAAACTCAAAAACTACAAAACAAAAAATGTTAAGCACGATTATGCTGGAACCTATTTTTCAGGAGAAGTTACTTGAGTATCATCTAAAATTGTTATCAATAACCAGTTTACGTTTAAAAATAGTAAGCTGTTAAAGCGTTTCCAGTAGCTTAGAGTTGCATTAGTGTCCACCTTGGGAATATAAAGAAAAGCCCTCTTTCAATATATTTTTTCTCCATTGTCTAAGACTAATGAAAACATGGAAACATGTAAAATGATTCATTGTCTGCCAGTCTGCCATTCAAGTGCCACTGGGATGTCAACTGCAAAGAAATATCCATGACAAACAGGATCTTTTTATTTTTATTTTTCCACCATACCATTTCCATGTCAAAGATAACCTAAAATAAGCACACCTTCATCACCAGAATAGGACCCACTGCATTAATCTCATAAGCAAGCATCAAGGATGACCTCTCTACTTTGTTCAATGTTGTTTCTGTACTGAAAATTGAAGAAAATAAGTTAAGAGCCCTAATAACTGGTTCAAACAAACAGTTAGCTTTTAGTTGGTTCATTATTGGATGATACATAGGAGGGTTAAACTCTTATAGTTGAACCAACACCTTATCCAGGAAGACTGAGCGAAATGAAGAATTACCCCTACCTGGTTGCAACACATTCTGTATTGAAAGAATGCCTGACGCATTAATGAGAAGGTTTAAAGAGCCATATCTCTCTGTAATAGACTTTGCTGATGCCTGAAATATAATGTTAAACCAGAAGACACAAGTTTAATTAATTTTTTCCAATTGATAAGATAGAAAGACAAAGAGAACAAGATTCATTAGAACATCTTATTTCCAAGAAGACGAGGGACATTATTAATGTTAAAGATATTACAACCGCTTTCTCAATCCAAAATAGTTGTAAATTTCATCATCTTTAGAAAAAAAAAGAAAGAAAAAGAAATTCCCATCAATTAGGCTAGTAAAGGGAATTGAAAGGAAACATTTGGCTAGAGGAAGCATAGAAAGACAGATGAAACTGAATGATGATGTAAGTAATAGATTATAAAGCTTGATTATCATCAATCCACTGAAAACTAAGAGAACATCACCAAAAAAGCACAAAGACATATAAGCAAAGCATAAGAATGAGAGCAATCTAACCTCTATGGTGCTTTCAACAGTCAGATCCAACTGTAAAATGTCAAGTCTTTCAACAAACTTATTTTTTAAATCAAGAAGCCCTGTTGCTGCATTTGGATTCCGGCATGTGGCAATAACATGCCCTTTATCATTTTTCTCCAGCAGTTCCTTAACCTATATGAGGCAAAAAAACAAGTCATAATGCATTCCACTGCTTCGCTTGTATTTTTGCAGCATTGAATTCAAGTTAAGCATATTCAAAAGAACAATAAGAATGTTTTCATGGTAGCAGATTCTTTACACCAAGAAACTAAACCGAGGGAATGATACAACTATAGTTTGCTTTCTGCACAATTGCGTATAGTCAAACAGTCTCTGCTACTACTATCCAATCATGATAATACAGGCATGCCAAGAACATACTATGCCTAAGAATGCTATGTAAGACATCAAACCGAATCAATTTGAAATGTCAAATGAGATGAATATTGGCTGGCTGTGCACCATGAAAACAGAACCTATGACACAAATAACGAGCAGACCCAAAAGTAACACATAATAAAAAATAAATAAAAAAAAAAAAAAACCCAGGAGGTGAATCCAAAATGTCCATGGAAGAGCCTTCGGGGTGGTAATTGAAAAAACACAATTCAAGGTTACCATCTTCATAATAACTCTTCAGCTCTCAAAATTACTCCACTAAACAATTGCCCAAGATTAAATTTTGAAAACCATAACCCTAATATCACAAACTTATTATCCAACCGTCAAGTTTTAACTTTAAGCTCCACAAGAATTATGGCCATCATATCCATTTATCAAGACAAATGACTTTGATAGCAAGACTGTTTAGCAACACCAGAAATTCAATAATTTAGCCATGACTAAATTTAAATAAAACAAAGCAAAAAAAGATGGCCTTCAACTTTACCATCCAGATGACAGGTCAAGCCGTAACAAAATTGGCAAAATTCCAGTAAATATATGAAAATTTAACATATGCAATTCTAACTCCATTCCACAAGCAGCAATTCTAACTACATAACCATAAAAATATATGAAACAAAATCAACTTTATGAACTCCATTCTAATTGTAACTGAACCCGTTTCAAGAAATTGTCTAAACATTTGCAAACCACGAGGAAAAATTAACCATTTTCAAGCCATTTTATTATATACCATAAAGGGACAAATCCAATGTATCAATAAGCCAATTATGAACAAGAATTTGATCAAAAAGTGAAACAATCTCAAAAGGGTATCAAAGAAACACAATAATACTCACAAATTCAAGGCCAATTCCTCTTGAAGCTCCTTGTACCATTGAAACCCCACCATCCCATTTCACAGAACCAGAACCAGAACTAAAACTAGCCCTTGGAATTGATCTGAGAGCCCCAGCCAGTGATGTTGTAGCCATAAATGCACGTTGGCTTAGACTGAAAAGTTGCATTTTTTCAGCTTCTGTTAGAGAAATATTGGATCTTTACCTCTCTCAACCCATATTTGTATAACACTCATCTTATCTATCTACTCTGTTTTGGCTCATTAATGTTATTGAACATCATTTATCCTAATTTTATCTGTATTTCTTCATGCTATTAATGTGACATGATCACAATAATCAGCTTAATGAGAACCATATATTAAAATTTTGAGGTAATTACTAATTACCCCTAAATATTGGGGTTCTTTTAATCAAAACCCTCAGAGAAAAAGTATTCAGGGGGATTTTGATATTTTCTAAGGGGGGTATAATTTTTTTAATTCACTGTCGCTCAAGGAGTCTGATAATAACCTTTATTATCTATCATTTTTCTTCAAAAAATAAAAAATAAAATGATTTGACAAAAATACCCTCAATTCAAGATTCCTAAACAACAAATAAAAGTATTTGCACACCTAAATACAATCATGTTTAATGAAAGATGTTGAAATTTTGGTGTGTTATAATTTGACAATCTTTATTTTTTTTTATTTTTTTTAATTTCTAGTTAAAGATTAAGTTTTCTCTCTGTAAGGTGTTCTTCCATGGTTAGAGATTGAGCTTCTTCTTTTTTTTTTTTTTTTTTTAATTTTATTTGGCTTCAAGGTTTTTTTCTTTATATTTCTCTAACAAAATTTCATAGAGATGTGAAGATGGTATTGTTGAAGATAGGGTTAAATTTGTCACTTTGCTAGAGAATGGTTGTGTCAATAGAGAAAATATTGAGTTTGTAACCACTTGGTTGTGACCAGATAGCAAGATCTTAGGTTACCTAGAAGTCTTGTGTTCGAGTGCAATCAGTAATCATCTATCACATTTGTGACTTACTTAGTCTATTGGACTTGTAGAGTGTTCAACAGACCTTGAGGATTAATTGAGATGCGTGCAAGCTGGCTCGGACACCCTGGTCATAAAAAACAAAAATTGACTTGGTCATGCTTTTCTAACTTTAAATGTATGAAAATTTAATATTAATATTGTATAAATGTGTTGATAAATATATGCGCTAGCATTAGCCATGAGAGAGAATATTGAGTTGGCAACCACTTGGTTGTGGCCGGATGGTAAGACCTTAGGTTACCTAGAGGTCTTGTGTTCGAGTCCAACCAAGTGATCATCTATCACATTTGTGACTTACTTAGCTCATTAGACTTGTAAAGGGTTCAATAGACTTCAAGGATTAATCGAGGTGCGCACAAGTTGACCCGAATACTTTGGTAAAAAAAAAAATATATATATATTGACTTGGTCATGCTTTTCTAACTTTAAATGTATGAAAATTTAATATTGATATTGTATAAATGCGTTGATAAATATATATACTAGCAGTAGCCTTATTTTAAATTTGATATTATTTGTAAAAGCAAAAAATTAATGAGTGAAACTTTATTTTGGTCCTTGAGGTTTGGCCAAATTCGTTAGGTTCTTGTAGTTAACAATAGTTTGAAGAATTTTATAAGAGTTTTGTAAAGTCTAAAATACCCCTAACATTTTTATGTGAGTAACATTAAAAATTAACATAATTAATTATAAAGAAAAGAAAACTAACCAGTAATTAATAGACAATTCTAAATTTCTAATAAAAATTTAGAACAACCAAATTTAGCAACACAATGTTACGTGGCCAGATCTAACCTTTGTCGATGCACGTTGTGACCCTTTTCAACGGTTTCATGCAAGGCCTTCAAGGTCTCCAACGGTAACTTCCGCAAGGTCTTAACAACCTCCAGTGGTGCCACCGTGAGGCCTTCAAGCCCTCCAACNTTAAATTTGTCACTTTGCTAGAGAATGGTTGTGTCATGAGAGAAAATATTGAGTTGGTAACCTTAGTTGTGGCCAAATAGCAAGATCTTAGGTTACCCAAAGGTCTTGGTCTTGTGTTCGAATGCAATCAAATGGTCATCTACCATCTTTGTGACTTACCTAACCTATGGAACTTGTAGAGTGTTAAATAAACCTCAATGATTAATCGAGATGTGTGCAAGCTAGCCCAGATGCCCTGGTCATTAAAAAAAAAAAAAATTGACTTGGTCATGCTTTTCTAACTTTAAATGTATGAAAATTTAATATTAATATTGTATAAATGTGTTGATAAATATACACATTAGCATTAGCCATGAGAGAAAATATTGAGTTGGTAACCACTTGGTTTTGGCCGAATGGCAAGACCTTAGGTTACCTAGAGGTCTTGTGTTCGAGTCCAACCAAGTAGTCACCTATCACATTTATGACTTATCTAGCTCATTGGACTTATAAAGTGTTTAATAGACCTCGAGGATTAATCGAGGTGCGCGCAAGCTAACCCAGATACTCTGGTCACAATATATATATATTGACTTGGTCATGCTTTTCTAACTTTAAATGTATGAAAATTTAATATTGATATTGTATAAATGTGTTGATAAATATATACACTAGCATTAGCCTTATTTTAAATTTGATATTATTTGTGTTGTGTGTAGTTTTTCCGCCAAGCTCGGGCTGGCGCGAGGATATAGCTCGACCTAGTATAAGCTCGTCGAGCCATAGCTCGACCTAGCACAAGTTAGTCACGAACAACCCGAATGATCATTCAATCGATTCTCAGATAACTTCAGATCCATATATTATGGGAACGATCAGATTAATAGCAATCTTTGCGCAATCATAGCGCCCAATCGTGAGAATATCGGAGTTGCAGTTCAAATCAATTGTAATCCCTTTATTTTCGCTATTTCCTTTATGTAAATCTTGTATATATACCCCTTGAAACGATGAGGAGGGGGATACAAATTCTAGATTAGAACTATATTGTAAGCTCTTACAGCATATAAGCAAAACACAGTGGACGTAGGCAGTTTAACTTCGCCGAACCACTTTAAAAGTTCTCTTTGTCACTTATTTTCTAGCATTTCCATTCACCAATCGTTGATTACCAATAATCACACACATATCAGTTTCGATCCCAACAAGGTCGATCAGATCTTGCTGGTTGGTGCAGATTTTTGTATAAACAATTTGTAAAAGCAAAAAATTAATGAGTGAAACTCTATTTTGGTCCTTGAGGTTTGGCCAAAGTCGTTAGGTCCAATAGAATATGAATATAACATTTAGGTTCTTGCAGTTACCAATAGTTTAAAGAATTTTTTAAGAGAGTTTTGTAAAGTCTAAAATACCCCTAACATTTTTATGTGAATAACATTAAAAATTAACATAATTAATTATAAATAAAAGAAAACTAACCAATAATTAATAGACAATTCTAAATTTCTAATAAAAATTTAGAACAACTGAATTTAGCAACACAATATTACGTGGCCAGATCTAACCTTTGCCGATGCACGTTGTGACCCTTTTCAACGGTTTCATGCAAGGCCTTCAAGGTCTCCAACGGTAACTTCCGCAAGGCCTTAACAACCTCCAGTGGTGCCACCGTGAGGCCTTCAAGCCCTCCAACGAAGGCCCCAACCTACCAAAGCATTTGATTTTAATATTTTTTTATGTTTTTATTTTAATTTTTGCAAGATTGTTTTAGTGAGGGAGTAAATAAAATTTTCGTTCGTGAATGAGAAAATTAGAGAAATTTTGGTTTGGTAGATAAAAAACAGAGATAAAATATTGTTTGATGAATGAGAAAATCTTAGAAAGTTTACTAAAAAAGATGAGAAATGTAATAAATTTAGTGGGATAATAGGAAAGCTTAAATAAATAAATAAAAAAAAAAATTGGGTAAATAAGAAAAAGTAGTAATTTCTATTTGGTAACATAAATTGGATGAGCTTTGGGTTATATTTGCACTGTTAAATTTTTCCAAGGGTAAAAATGTCGTTTTTGCATTTAACAAAGATTTTTTATTTTTTTTTATCATCGGAGGTGTTTAACTTGCGCGCAGTTCAACTAATCTTCTAGGGTCCTAGAACTACCGACTGAGTAAGAACCTATGTGGCCAACTCTATTAGTGCTTGTGGGGACTTGAATTTAAAAGCTTATGAAACTTTTTTTGCTCTTTTATTATCAGGACACTCAACTGTGATTACATTTAACAAAGTTTCATTAGTAGTTTTTGCATAAAGGGAGTTAGGGTCCTATTTTATCAAACCACTGGTGGCTTATGTTAACAGGGCAAACATATGGGGGCTTACGATTTTTTTAAAATTAATTATTGAATCAAGAACCAAACTTATTATGTTATTATTATGATGAAGCCCCAACAAATTTATTTATTGTAGTAAATGCTGCATTTTTAGATTAAATGTGGTTGACATTTAACTTGGCAAAATAATACTAGATATAAAATTTGTATATAAGCATATCATAATATTAACAAAAAAACGAATATAAGAACAATTCTTAAACGCTTAATTTACGACGATGAATGATATGGATGAAAGAAAAATAAAAGTTACATGAATTTAAAAATAAGAGTTCGTATTATTTGTTTGTATATATACCACTACTTGTAATTTTTCGTGTGTCAATTTAAGATCGATGTCGTATTACTTGAGTATAATTTTGGGATATAATCTCAGGATATATAGTATTTATTTAATTTGAAAAGGAGTAGGAGAAATATATCTTATTGAAATTATAGTTGTGGTAAATGAGAGTATAAGTACTTTTATAATTATTAAAATTTTTTTTTCAAAAAGAAAAGAAAAAACATTATGAATTTGCAAATTCCTAAAATACCCTTAGAAAGGTTAGACTTTTTGAACATAAACAGTAAGTTTATGAAATTATTATTTAATCAATTTTAAAGTGTATTTTTCATATGATAACACTTGTAAAATATATGTAACATCTTTCTATAGGTCATAATATATCTATTTATTTTTAAGTTGCTTCTTTAATTGTTTAATTAAATTGTCCATTTTTAGGATTTTCTCTCATTTTTACTCTATCCAAACACGTTATAGATTAAACATGGTAAAAAAAAAAAAAAAAAATCACACTCTCCTTCTTATTCAAGTGGAGATTTTATTTTATTATTCTCTCTTGATATCATGAATTTTATTTTAATTAATATAATAAAAAAATTTTATAACCACACAAAATTAAATAGCTAGAAAGAGACAAAAAGAGTCCAACATTATGTAAATCCAAATTCAATTTATAACATTGTAATTGATTTTTGATAGTGGTTTTAATCATTTCAAAATGGAATATATTAATTAGCATTAAGATTAATTATACTATTGATTATGTCAACATATTTATAAATCAAATTTATGGCCAACAAAAATGTAAGCAACCATTTAATTTTGGTCCCACAAAATTGATAGTGGAGAGCACGCAAATCCAAGCAAAATAAAAACAATAATAAAAAGAGAGAAAATAAAAGAAAAATATATTTATTTATTTAAAAAAAAAGAATAGAATTTTTTTTAATTATAACATAAAATATTTAATATATTTATAAGTTTGGATTGTTTTTAACACTTCCAAAATAATTTTCAAAACGATAACATTTTTTTACTAAATTTAATGAAAAATGACACAAATTTTATTTTTTATATTAATAAACAGACAATTTTATCATTCAATAAATAATTCACTTTTTTTTTTTTTTAAATATTTATGATACTATCATTTGAGTGATCAAAATATAACAGTGATTTTACATAAAACAATTTTATTCAGAGAAGTTGTTTACAAAAACAAGTATAATTAATTAGATTGAATATTATTTGAAGTTTCTGGCTAATTAATAAATTAATTCGATAATTAAAGGGATTAATTGTCAACATTTTGAGGGAACAACTTTCATTCTCTTGGGTTTAGATTAGAACAAATTTAATTAATTAATTAATTAATTCGATAAGAAAACAAGTAAGTAAATAATTTAAAAAAGATTTGGAGATATTTTGTTGATATCAAATAATAGTTTAATGGGTAGAGTGAGATCATGATCGGCATAATTTATTATAAAATTAAGATGATATAGTTTAATATTAGTCATTGCTTTAGAAACCTGTCTTCTTAATTAATATTATTTTTCTTGAGTAAATTGGTTGACTTTGTAAAAGATTTGGTTTAAAATACCAATAAACCTAATTACCTTTTTATATTAAATTTTGTGAGAAATTTCCATTTGAAATTAGGAAAATAGTTGAAAATTTTCTTTTTTAAATCATTTGAAACCTTCTTGAAATTTCATAAATTAATTTTTAAAAACAATCTTTTAGTAAAGTCTATCTACATTTTATATTTCAGAGGTTAATTTCATCTGTTGTTTATGAGATTTTTAAATCTCAAGCATCTTAATAATTTTTAAAAATTATTAAATACCTGCTAAATTTCTTTATATATTAAAAAAAATAAAAATAAAAACCTCTTAAATAAGGGATATTTACTAATTTTCAAGCATCACAACAATTCTTTACCTGAAAATAATAAATCTCTGAGGATGGATGAAATTAACCAATTCTAACTTGCATAATAAAATGCTTTAACCTATTTTCTAATACATAAACACCACTGAAAACATTATTTAAATTAGGGTTTTACTATTATATATCATTATAATAATGTATAAACATAAAATTTGTAAATTTGTAACGCAAAACTTGTAAATTATTATCATAAAATTTTTAATATTTATATTTAGATTGGTATATTATAGTCAAATCCACTGAAAAGAAATAAGCAAATTAGAAAATCCAAGGAATTAAGCTAGGTACCTAGGGCTAGCAATTGAATAACAACATCAAGAAATTAACAAAAATAATTAAACGATGGGACAAGTTAATTAAACGGTGCATGTGTTTAATTATAAGATCACCTTCACATTCTGTGAGTGAGAGAGAGAGCATGAAATTATCTCTATGGACGGGGTTTTAACAAAAATTTTTAAATATATTATTCAAAGAGTCATGAGTTTAAATTTATTTTTGAGTATTCATAAAAATAGATACTAAAATTTTTATCTAATTGATAACTTCAAAATCACAAAAAATTAATTAAATTATTAATAGATATAATCATTTAAGTTTTTATCTATTCGATCATTTTAGAGTCTTACAAAATTATTGAAATATGCCTATCATGTTAAAAAAAATAATAATAATAAAGAAGTAATTTCATATCTATCTTTCCAAAATCATGAAGCATACATAGTGATTCCCATAAACATTCCCATATGCATTACTTCAAATGCAATATAATTACTCCTTTTTTTTTTTAATCTTTTACCCATGGGTCAATCAAAGAAAAGAGACGAAAAGCAAGACAAAAACTGAAAGAGAGAGAGAGCTTTACACTGTAGTTTTGTCCATTGAGATGACTTGAAATTGAACATGAATTGAATGGGATATAGAAATTTTCGTTAAAGCTGATGGCTGAATGGATTGATGGATTTGACAGAACTTAATGTCACTATTTCCTTATGAAATTATAGTAAAAAGATAGAGGCAACCTCTTTTACATCTTATCATCTCAACTGTTTGACATGTGTGAATTCAACCCTTTTCCACCTCTTCTCTAATAATTTTTATTACAAAAAATAGAAATATTTGATTAACAAATTTCCAGTGCAAACTCTTATATAAAAATGATGTATTTTAAGATAATTAAATGATGTTAAACTACAAAATTTGATAAACAAATTTCCAGTGCAAACTCTTATATAAAAATGATGTATTTTAAGATAATTAAATGATGTTAAACTACAAAATTTGATAGATAAATTTCTTATACAAACTCTTCCGTACAAATTGTATAGCAGAGATGCATGTTAAGATAAATAAATGATGTTAAATTGAAGATAAAATTAAAAGAGATGACATGTTAAATGCGTATGGTTCATTCTATAACAACTAGTTTGTATATGTAATATTACTTCATAAAAAAATATTATATATTATTTAAGATTTGAATCTAGTGATATTTTTCGATTATCTTGTACAAGTAAGAAATTTGATAGAATGTTTATGAATGTTTGATTTTATTTGGGTTTAATTAATTTATTGCATGTTGAAAAAGCTCGTGAGAAATATATATATATATATATATATATATTTTAAAAGTAAATTTCATAAAAGAAGAGAAACAATACCAATCACCCAAAAGGGAGTAGAGCACACATACTCTAAACAAAGAAGGGAGATGGGCATAGACACCATAACGGAGCTCGCAGGTTCAAACCAAACAGAAAAGAGAAACGAGTATAGGCGTCCGACAAGAGCACATAGGCTCAAAACAAATAAGACTAATTAGTTGGGGGTAGGCTCCAATGGCTCTAAGAGCGCACAAGCTCAAAACAAACAATACTAATTAGTTGGGCATAGGCTCTAGATGACTCTAAGAGGGCGCAGGCTCATGAGAAAGATGATACCATGATATGAGCTTCTTATTCTCCCTAAAATGTAAATATTGAAATTAAATATGTATAGTGTGTACTTAATTCATGAAACCATTTATATTTTTATCTTGAATTTTCATTAATTGTTGATGATTGTTGTATTGATGAAGATGAAAAAAACCCTAGTTTATGTTCAATCAAATAAAAGAACTTTAAAGCCAAATTCGTACCAAAATAATCCGTGGAACAGTATATTATTAACTTCTTACTGTTTATGCAGAACAGCGAAATTGAAGTAAACCACATGGCTAGGGTTAACCCACCATAACATATACTGTATTAAAGATGATGATGAACAGATCACCTCATAAATAACATTTTAATAATTATGGTAAATTAAGATTTATATATATCATAAATGAGACACATGATAATGGATCTACAATTTATGATTCCCCTTCTCTCTCTGCAACTCATACAAAAATTCAGTGTTTCTCCTAAGAACAGCTTAATTAATTAATTTATTAATTATACATAGAAATGTCAGAAGAAGAAACAAGCTAGCCATTCACGTGATAAAATGACAAAATCCGATTATATAATTACCTCATTCATCGTCCAATCATTAGAGATAAGATTAAACAGTAATTGTTTTTACTACTAATTTAATTGTATAAATAAAAATAAATTAACAGAAATCTGAGAAATCCGAAGCACTTTCTCTCCATTGCACATCCCTAGAGATCAAAACTTTTTTTTTTTTTTTTTTTCCACCAATTTGTCATCTTTCTCTTATATTTCTTCACATCAAAGCAATTAAAACTTTATATTATCTATAGGTTTATTTTATTTTTTTTCACCGAGGAGATTGCTTAACGTTAAACTTATCTGTTTCGTTTAGAAAATAGAAAGTATAATATAATTTTATTAATTTAATACTAAATGCTCTTATAAGAGAGAAAAAAAACCCTATTTTATATTTTTCTGGAGTTATTAGAAAGATTTTCTAAAAAAATAAAAGAAGTTGATAATATATGAAAAATGGGGTGAAATAATGAGTTCCACTTGATGGAAAAAGGAAGAGGAAAGGCAAGTCCCATCCCATCGAAAATGAATCTGCTCACTGAGCTATCGAGTCATGTCTGATGGATGTACTTTTTTTAACTGTGGAAACCTTCTGTTTCTCAGCTTTCTGTCTCATCCACTAATATTCCAAAAGGAATGTGGGACTCATTGCCTCTGCTCCCAATCAACCAGCACTCTCTATCTTTTTTACCATCTTTGTTTTTTCTAATCTTCTGACTGTTTGTTCTGGTAAATAACAAGAAAAAAAAGTAGAAAAGGGGAAAAAAAATTCTGAAATTCAAACCAGAATGACAAGCTAAAGGTTTATAACAGGACCTCGAATGAAATTTTGCACCACATGAACTTACATAAAAATAGTCTTTTAATTTCTTTGTTGTTTGACTTCAAGGTCTTGTTATAAACCCCTCTTGGATTCTCCAAATGAAGTGTTGTTGTTGTCTCCTGACCAATCAAAGAGATTAAATGGATCCAAACCCTTGTTTTCTTTATGTACATCTCCACTGAATCCATGGCTAAATAAGAGGTTTAGAGGGTCGGCTTCTATCTCTCCCAAATCGGCGAAGAAATCTTCATGAGATTGGTTCGACTGATCTGGCAATGCCGGTTTGTATATCTGAGAAAACCCTTCACTGAATTCACCATTTTGATCCATCTCAAATGGCTTCTCCATTTCCTCCACCTCCTCTTTAACTGAAGCGCTTGAGCTAGCTCCAACTACTGGCGACAGCGTATCGTCATTACTATTCTCCTTCGCTTCTTCCTTTGTGTTGTTTGTTGAATTCTGAGGCTGAGAGCCGGAGCTCTTCGCCGCGTTGTTTTTAGATGGCTGAGACCTTGTTGAGCCGGCTAGCGCATTTCTCTGTGTCGGCCATGGATGATTGTGCTCGGAAGTGTAGGTAATCACCAACATATTCGGATCCGTTCGGCTCCTCTCAACTTGTTTCCTCGCTGAACATCCCTTCGAGCTACTGCATCTGTAATAGCCCCTGGAAAATTCACAGACCATTACTCTTTAATTGTCATCCCAACTAAAAGTTTAAATTCGTAAGTCAGAAAAAAAATAAAAAAAAATAAAAAAACCAGAAAACGAAAAAGAAAAGAAGTGAAAATAGATTCACTTATGCCCTGACGAGAAATTAATTATATAACACCTGTATATATAATTCAGTTTACCTTGGATAAGGTGAACCTTTGATGGGTTTTTGTCCATATTTTCTCCATGCCCAGAGATCAGAAGGAACCACCTCTCCACTTGACCTGCTATTTGCCGCTGCCGGCGCCGGAATACAAACCACCTTCTTTGCCTGGCTCTTTCTGGAATCCATTACAAGAATGATCTTGTTAATTTTCTTAAAAAAAAAAAAAAAAAAATTGAGAGACTTGTACAAGAATCTTGTTAATTTTGTAAAGAAAAATTGAGAGACGTTTAGTCAATACTTAATAGAGCAAGAAATGTTATTAATTTGACCTGTGCATAGTTTTAGTAAGTTTCATAAAGAAAGAAGAAAGTTTTAATTTGGTATATTTTTGAACAATTGAAGAAGAAATCAAAAAGTTAGAACTATTCTCTGAAAACAACATGGTGAAAGCTAAGTTTGTGAATCTTATTGTGACACCAGTTAGATTACCCTTTTTCAGGTTTGAGTAAAACCCCATCAAACGTATATTTTTGGGCTTAATTATGAAGATGTTGACAAGAACTCACCTGAAATCATACAACTCTAATAACAAAACCCTAATTTCAGATCATCACTATAATTTTATGATAAATATAAACTAAAAGTTACATACATCTAATTCTCAATATTAAATTGAATTAGTTAATAATATTATTTAATAAATTCTGACCTTCTTTTGATGCCCAGATTCCTCGGGGATGAGATCTGCAAAGGTCCAGTAGTGTTATCAAGTAAACAACTTTTTGAGCTGGTTGCATTAATCATGTCACTTGGAAGCATAGCAGGCGCCTTAGTTCCCCTCGGCGTGGCAGCAGCAGCGGCGAGAACTGGTGAATCACATGGCAAAACCGGCAGCTGCTTGGGACTTTGTGAGATCTGAATCCGTGAAAAAACGTTGCAAGGCGTCTTCAATTCATCTTCAAAAACCCTTTGATGACGAGGATAGCTGGCTGAAGAAGTAGTACCACTTTCATCAACAATAGTACTGCTAGTTGTTGACATCATTTCAACTGAATTCGGAGCGCTGTAATAGCAGGAACCCGCCATGTTGAGCTCATGGAGGAGCGGATCTCGAATGGAGGAGAACGGATCACCGAAGGAAGAAGAATCTCTATGATTGTCCGAAGTCAAAGAAAAATTCAACGCATCGGAAGACGGAAATTGCCAGGTTGAAGAAGAAGCAGCAGCAGCAGGAGGATTATTGTTATTATTGTTAACGTTACTATTAATATCAGACGATGAATTACCTGAGCTTGCTCGAAGAATATCGGTTAAATCGCCTTGGTAATTCTCCATTGGAAGGCCAAAGAAACTGCGCATACTACTAATGCAACAACCAGGAGGAGCAAACCGGAGAAATCAAAACTAAAACCAAAACTAAGGGTTTCATTTAATATTTACTAAACCTAGCTTAATCAGCTATGGTGAAAACCTTAAACGTATGAAGAAAATATCAAAACATGCAGAAAATTTCCAATTAAATTGTTTCTGAGGAGCCAAAAAACAAACAGGGTTTTGAGTTTTGAAGGATGAAACAAAAGAAAAATGGATTCTTTGAAGAGAAAGAGAGAGATAGAGAGACAGAGAGAGAGAAAGAGAGAGAGTCGCTGACTTTTCACACAACAACACAGCCATTGAGAATACGCAACCGGTTAAATTAAAAAATAAAAGGGTTTTAAGATTTATTTATTATTAATCATCTCAAATTATATAAAAAAAAAAATCAAAGGGTCAAATATCTGCAACTGTTTTTGTTTTTGGTATTTTTGTTCTTAATAAATATTAATCAAGCTAAGTTAATTCATCTACAAAAAAAGTAAATTTTCGAAAACAAGTGATGGGAAAGTAAAGAGGCAGCAAGTAGCCGCATTTATCGGAAAACGTTTCGATATAATTTTACGCCGTTTCTTTTTTTAATATATAGTTTTTTTATTTTATTTGGATATAATACAAAGTGAAGATTGATTGATTGCTTGCCCACCTCACAATGTGATGCACTTTGTTTAAATGAACTTTGTACATTATTTTCCACAAGCCAAAGCTGGAAATGCCCACCAAAGGAAATATTCACTACAATCTTGCAATTATATAGAGTGAACCTTTCATGGCATATTTTTGTGTAAAATCTCAATCAAATAAAGCCAGGGTTACATATTTCAAACAATAGACGGTTCGACACGAGTAGTATCTTTATATATTCTTTCTTCTTCTTTTTTATCTCTTTTTTTTTTTTCGTAGATCTTTTCTTCTTACCATCTAAATGAAATTTGCAATTTTTAAAGATTGGTTTTCAAAATGGGTATATCGTATGGAATTTATAAGATTCTTGTTGAAAACAGAAACAACAAAATAAACTTTGTAAAGAAAAAAAGAATGTAATTTTCAAAAGTATATATAAAGTATATACATGGTATCATGAAAAGCAATTTTAGCTTTTTGGTCAACAAATTAATTCTAAACCTTACAATTTTAATTGATTCCCTTCACATTACCTAATTAATTTCATATTTAATACCATGTATATAAAACTATGGTTGTGATTTTTAACATATAAACAACTAAAATTCAGATGGGTTTTTTTAACTATCATATGTGAAAACTTAAAAAATAATAATTGAAAAATAGATTAATTTATACTTAATCAGGATCAGTGATTATTAATTATCATAAATAGAAAATAATAAAGAAGAAGAAAAAGAAAAGATACTTCCTTTAAAAATCTTCAAAAAACCTAGATGACAACGAAAAGAAATTTGACAGCAGAAGATTCAAAGTCCATGGTGTATATTTGAAAGAAAGAAAAGCAAAAAGAAGTCGAAAGAATATTGAACAAATAAATAATAAATATGAACAAATTAAAACCAGTTTGTGGCAGAATTTACCTTTTGCTTGTTGAAGTCTCGAATATTTGAAAAGACTAAACTCCAGAGAAGTGAACCCATCATTTTCTTTCAGGATTCTCTGAAAGAAAAGATAAAATGACATAAAGTAATAAAAAAAGAAAAAAATCAAATCAAATACTATATGTTATAGTAAGAAATATTCAGAATATTTATGGAATTAATCATTTTATTGTAAGTGTTACCATATATGAAGTTAAACATTTTGGTATAGAGGGATATGGATTGGAATGTCTCAGATTTTCAGCATCCATATGCTTTTTTTATCATTTTATTTAAGGCAGATATTTAATTTGATCTATGGTGGGGAGTAATAGATTTGATGGATCAATTAAAAGGGAGAAAAAGAACTCTGACCAACACAACTCTCTATTGAGTTGTCACAAGGGAATCAAAGCTTAGAAATATATATATATATATTTTTTTTTTTGGGTATTCAAGCCAGTTTGCATGCACCTCAACTAATCCACCAGGACCCTAAAGTTGATAACCAATTTAGAACCTCTTGAATAAAATACTCCAAAGTTTTAGTTGACCGCTATGTCACTTAGTGGTGGTTTCAAAGCTTAGAATTTACTTGTTCAATAAATTATAAATTTGGTTTGGTTTTTAAGTATATTTGTACTGTTATTGACTTAAAACATTCTTTTCTCCTATGTAATTATAATTAAATTGATTTGAGATGATCAAGAGAGACAGATCAAGCTTTCATTAATCAATATTGAGTCAACATGGGGTTGACTTCTTTTAGCCAAAGCATTAGCTTATTAATGGATCGTCCTTTTTGCCTTTTATTTCCCACTTCAACAATCTCTTCATTTGATGTGAATTTGTATTGAAAATGGGGTTTACTTTTTAAGAATTAGCGAAGAAGCTATAACTAGGTTTGAGGTCATATGGTGATAAAAACTATGTGTAAGCAAGATCTTTTAGATTAAATTCATGATTAATTATAAGAACTCAAAAAGTTTGATTAAGATAAGATGAACATATAAACTAGGGTCTAATATATTTTTATGTCGGGATGATTAAGGACAAAGATTAGTTTAATATTTTATTAATAATCAAGGTTTAATTAGTCTGTTGCTTTGTGGAAGTTGAAAAAACGTTTAGCTAAAAGGTCAAATTCACAACATGCCTTTGGCTCTTAATTGACCTTTTCAATTAGAGATGGTGCTCAAACGTGCAACATTCGATAAAAGTAAGTCATGGGTTGATAAGACATTTCGTTGGGTTTTTGAGGTGGGGTTTCTTTGATTTGATTGAAGTTTTATTTTATTTTATAATAAGGTATGGGAGAAACGTTTCTGAAATCTCTCTCTCTCTCTTATTATTATATATATGTATAAGATAAGATAATTTGTGAAATTCAAGTGTAAAGAAATGATATGAAAAAACACATTTTGGTTTGATGTGGGAAGAGAGAGAGAGAGAGAGAGAGGGAGAGGTGCCGGTTTTTGTTAGTTTATATAGAAATTGAAGGTAGCAACAGGGATTGAAGTTTTGAATGGGCCAATTATCATTGAGATAATCACCGACCTCTCATGTTTGATGAGACATTTTGAGAATCTAATATTGTTCACCACAACCTCTATCTCTCTTTTGAATTGTGCTTTAATTCTTCTAAGTTTTGGCTTTGGACTTGTTCAAAACACGATACTTGCCTACCTTAAATATATATCCTCTCACAATTTTCTTCAATATCATCCATTCCACTTCATAATCACTCTATTCTTTATAATTTTCAATCAGAATTTGATTTTGATTTTTAATATTAGAAAATCGTAACTCGATATGTGTGTATATATATATATTACAAAAACCTATGAAAAAAAATGATACAATCAATATGAATCATTCTTTTACGTTAGTAAACAAGATTCTATATTGGTAAATGAGATTCTTACTTAAAAAAGAAAATTGACATCAATATTAGAAAGACATAACTGGATCTAAATACAAAACATAAAACTCTATAAAAGAAATATAAAATTAATATAAATCATTCTTTCATCCAAATGTTTTTTCACTAAGATATTTAGATATATCACTTTCTCTTTGGTTTATAATATGAGATTGAAGTACTTGAAAAATGGAAAGATAAATTATATGTATATAAATTAATAAGACTTGAATCGAGTCTAACTAGGCAATAAATTCCCCACATGAAGCTTGGAATTGATCAAGAATTGAGCTAAAGACCCTACTTGCCTAGGTACTTAGATTTTAGCTGTATTAATCTTTAATTAAACCAAAATCATCTCTTAATTAAGAATTCAATAACTAAAATAAACAAACAAACTCAACAACTTGACCTTGCTTGTCCTTATTCTATAATAATTAATATTAATTTCCTCTTCTTTTGTCTTCTTCTTCAATTAATAAATTAATCACTGGGATTTCCGTGGTCCATCTCATAACATTTCCAAACCCTAATTGGCTTCAAGTGTTCATCTTCAATCAAAAAGCCAAAACACTTGCCCCACGTTCTTGCATGACAAAACAAAACAAATTTCAACTGGGATTCTCTGACCAGTACTCTACCTTCGAATCTCAATTTCTCTAATTTTTCCTCACCATTTTTCTATAATAAAACTTGCCCATCTGCCATGTGAAGCACCTCAATAATTTAGTTTACTCTTCACATTATTTTATTTACACCATTAAATCAATCCACCATTGTTTTGTTCATTAAAATGCCAGCTTCAGCCATCCCACTCTCGGCGCTGACGATTGCAGCCTTCATTAAATTAAAATTTACTTGGAAAAAAAATTTGGAGTTTAATATTCATGGAGTCTTGCCTATGACAACGCTGTTGATTTGCACGCCAGACACTTGCTTTCCATCTTACGTAGCCAAACGTCAGCCGTCTACCGGCAACCTCACCAGTCACCTCCATCTTCACCGTCTACTTGGACGGCTAAGATTCGTCTACCACCTGTAATTTCGTCATTCAGCATCATCACATTCTGATGCCATAAACCAGGTCAAAGTGAGGCACCACCTCACCATTTTAAATATTAATCACAGTACTTTGCGTACAAATTCAACGTATAATCCCAATTTCAAAATTTAAACAATAATTTAATAAATATTAAATTATAATTATTCTTTTAGTTAATATTCTATTTAACAATTCTTAAATTACAACCAAAATTCTTAAGTTAAGACTTGGTGCTATTGCCGACCGTTTTTGATTACTAAATAGGTTTTGAATATGAAATCTTTTACTTTCTTTATAAAACTGTCGATAGTTTACAGATTATTTCATGTTTATATAAAGAATTTGAGTATATGGTTATTATTCATTCATTTATAATATTAAGGTATAATTGAAAATTCTATTTTTTCAACAACAAAATTTATAAAAATGTGTATAAGATGTATGGAATTTTTTTTATTTTTTTTTAATATATATAAAAAGATAAGAAAAACATTCATATCTTCTCTAAGTTCCATTTCTTCAGAAAATTCATGAAATAATTTTAATTAATTTTAATTCAACCAAAAAAAAAAAATTGTTTTTGAAGTACACTATGGCAAATTTTATCCATTTTTTTTTTTTTTTTTGGGAGGTAGAAAACAGAAAATATATTTAGAAAACAATAATGAATTATAATTTTATAATTCTCATAGAATGGTTGGTGGGGTTGATAACTTGATATATTGCGTAGGTTTAGCC